AACTAACGATGTTATTTTTATTACTGAACTTATGTTACAGATTATTAAATTTTTTTGGAGATTACATTTATGGTATTCAAATTATTTATGTATGTATTTATATTAGACATTATAAATAAAAAGAAATCTCTGTTCTGTTCAAGTTGGTGTTTAATACCAGTTAACCATTTGTATATTGCAAATATAAATTATAAATAAATAAAAAGGAATCTTGTGGTTTTCAATTGAATTTGGCATGTGAACGTGTTAAACAGATTATGAAATGCTTCGATTGAGCATTCGTTTGCAAGCGAATAAATGCGACAAGTGATAAGAGTGCCGCATGAACTTGGTAGCGGTAATCTGACATGAGCAAAGGCTGCTGAATAAAATTTGATGGTGAAACTGTGCGGATGGTCCCTAAATCAGTGAGCAGATAATGGGGCCAGTGAAGAGAAGCCGAGAACGAAATGACAAGCGACCGATAAAATAACGCTCGTTCAACAAAAGCGACGAGGCGATAAATCTGAGACATCCTATAGCAGGGCGGAGGCAAATGCGAGCTGCACTGGCCTCGGGATCGAGATCGGGATTACGCTACTCAGACGTCTTTGCTATATAGAATACGTTGAGTGGTAGAGCCGCCTCGTCGTTAGAGTTTTGTCGCTGCCGCTATGGGGTCTCTCTCTCTCTCTCTCACACACTCTTACTCGCGCAATCTGCTAGTTGAGAGGTGTGCAGCTCAGAGCGAGATCCGCCGATCGGATAAGTGGAGAATAAGCAGCTTTCCTTGGTCGCTATATAAACTCGCTCAGCTGCGATTCAACGTTGCGAGCTCCGACTGTTTATCGCGCTCGACTCTAGCTTAAGGTGCCGGGATTTTAGTTATTCAGCGCAGAGCCGAGGAGGAGGCCAAAGGTCCTCGGTCAAAGCGACCAAGAAGAAAAAAGAGAGCGACGTAGCGAGACGCAGCTGAATCGTAATTCCGGGCAGGCGGGAACAAGCGGGTCCGTTGCAGAAGCAAATAGGTGCGCCAGGAGGCGGTAAGAGGAAGTCCGCTCGTCGTCGCCGCGCACCTAATGGTCCCGATGTCAACGAGCGGGCCGCGTCGAGGACTGGACAGGTAGGCGGCGGCACAGAGCGTGCGCCGCGGCGACACGTCAAATGGCGCAGCGGGGAGGCAAGTCGGGCGCGGGCGGCTGGCATATCTTATTAGAAGCAAATATTCATGTCACATAGCCGACGCCAGCTGGTGCCAAGTGTATGACTGTTACCCTATGCTGCACGTGCCGGCGCTGCCTCGGCCGGAGAGCGAGACGCAGATCGCGCGAGCAGCTCGCTCTCGCTCCGCCACTGTTTGCGTTGCCGGCGCAACCGGAGAGGCGACAAAACTTTTGGCATAAGCTCGTTCGCCCTCCTACCTGCTGCCTCGTATGAGACCAACTTTCAAATATTATTGGCCGAATTCGGCCTTCTCTCTCCGCGCCTCTTGCGCGCTTTTTATCTCACTACTAGTACTTTCTCTACGGTCCGTGCTCGTATCGTACCCCTGCCAGTCCAATCACCAGATGTTGCCGAGGCACCTTGTCTTGGCACGAGAGTTCTTAATTCTCTGGAGGTCAATGGCGCGTCGAACACTGATTAGTACTACTTGAATCATTAAGGACGCGTAGCCCCGCAGTCGCGCATCAAAATCAGTTCAATTAAACGCCCCGATATACTCAGTTGCGCGGTCGAGGCGCTTCTTATGAAACGGGAGAGCAGCTTGTGGTTGTCGCGTAGTCGTCTGAGCCGAGAGGAAGATTCGATCGATGCGATAACGTGGAAATTGAACCTGCAAAGCTTCGCGCCAATAAAGTATGCGCGTGCAGGTACGTTCACATATCCGTTTGGCTTACCTGTCTTCATATTTAATTTCACTGTCAGACAGTTCATGTATTTTCAACCAATCGTTCGGTCAATGGAATCGAACTAACGACTGATTAGAAATAGCAGCGGAGATATCGGAACAAAACAGATCTATTAAAACAACATATTTTAGCTGACAATTGTTAATTTCTTTGGCAAGTCGAAAAATAATTTATTCCTACGGCTATACTTTATTATACGTGAAAACATTAATTATCGTTCATTCCATTTATGGAATGTGAATCTTATTCGATTCAAATCGAAATTTAATCAGATTTTAACGTAATATCTGAAATTTTTAATTTGATTTCAATTTAAACACGGTTCAAAAAATTCACGGAATAAGTTTCAAGATATTTAACGTAATCGACATTCGTAATGCAATGAGAATATTGGAAGATTGGTAGTAAAATTAAGCAAGGTCATTGCCCGAAATGAATAGCAAGCAAATGCAAGGCGCAATGAAGCCCCAGTAAAGCTTAAACGCGCCGGACACATAAAGAAAAGTTGTAGCAGGCCGTATCCCGAGGAAAAGGGTCAAAAAAAAAAGATGACGGAGAAGTAGAAAAGTCCGGTACGGCGAGAGAATTCAAAAAGGGAGGCTCCGTGCCACACAGCAGAGGCAAAGAAAGAAAGAGCGAGAGGAGGGTAAAGAGAGAGAGAGAGAGAGAGCCGCTGGGGGCAGCTATAAAGCGGGCGGAAGATCAGGCCAGTTCCTTCATAAATAAACACAACTGCTGGAGCAGCTGGCGCGGACGTAATTCATCGCGAATTAATTTAAGGGCGCGAGCTCGCGCCGCCGTCGCTACTTTCATTAAGGTACGCCCGGCCGCGCCATTTGGCGGCCCGCACTGTTCCAGCAATGCTGCCGCCTCTGCGTGCACGCGTCCGCTCCAAGGAGCAGACACAGCGCCTGCCTGTCTGCCTGCAAACCTTTGCTCGAGCTTAACAAAGACAAACAGCGAGAAGGCCGAATTCCGCTCCAAAGCTTTACTTCTGCAAAATTGGCCTGTTAGGCACCAAAGGCCTTTTCTTATCTCGCCAGGCTGCCTGCACGTTTCCTAATTGCCACCAACATCTCCCGATGATCTCATTATCATCCTAACTATTTCTCTGCGCTTTCGACTTTACTTTCTTCCTCAGTCAACTTCTCGTCCAGCGCATATCAATTTCATAGCGATCGTACATTAATATTCTATGGCGGACGGAACTCTCGCGACAAGTCGTACGAGTCAACAATAACACTTACTGCGAAAACAACCGAATGATTGATTGTTTTGATAACAGCGAATGAAAAATTATTATTTACATTGATATGCCAAAAACACAAACTACCGTGGTCCGTTAACTTTTCTTGATGGTTATTTCAACGTAGACACACTCATCTATTTGAAACGTACTGCTTTAAAAGTGCCATCTACACTGAACATTAAGTTACATGTCCTCATAGTATTGTTATTATCCAATTGATTATTCGCTCTTGCTGGTAGCGTGATGCTGAAAGAAAATTGTAGTAGGAGCGGTAAATTCCGCGGGGAATAGTGCTGCTATAGAAATGAAGTTTTATAGCGAGAAGCCGTAAATTTGGAAGGCGAATGAAGTGTAGAAAGGCGGGCATATCTTTGGAAAGAAGAAAAACGAAGAAAGTCAGAGAAAATTAGGCGCTGATTTGAAATATTTGGCGGGCCGTTAATGGTGCAGCCGAGCGCCGGGCAGTCGAGCGTTGCCTGCAAGCAACAGAATTCCGAAATAAAAATCTGCTATTGCCTGCTCGATGACGCCGTGCGAGCATCGAGGCGTAACGTTTGTTAGGTGCAGCCGCGCAAGCGTCAGCTCAGCTAAGTATATTTACGGAAGGACACGACACGGGCCTCGCACGAGCAATGCACTCGTATGTAATTGTCGGCTAGAGTGGAAAGCCGGAAGCCTGGCAAATTAAATTGGACTTAACTTCATTAGGCTTGACGCATGCACACGTTTACCTTTTCCTTCGGCTTGCTACGTATTTTTATTTTTTCACTTCCATAATTGCGGAGGCAGGCCAATTGGCTGTTTTTAATCCGAGCTATTTCTAGCATGAGCGCGCGACAAACGAGCGAGATGACAGACAAGCGGTTGCATGTTTAATGAAAATAAGAAAGTTTCGAGGAGGCGCTAGAGAAGAATAAGGGAAAAGCTAGGCGGCTCAAGTCTCAAATAATAAGGGGATGGGGAATCGCATAAGTTTGGCTTAAGTAGCTCTCGGCCGGGCGGCAGGCATGGCGGCGCGACAGGTGCAGCGCGCACGTGTAGAAATTACGAGAGCTCTTCTCCGGGGCCGTTGCTAAGTGGAGAGCGACAGAGACGGCGCTAAGAGGCAAACGAGCCCGACGCGCGACTCGGCCTGCCGGTCGGCTGGCCGGCCGGCCGGTCGTCCCCATCCCAAATGCCAGCCCGAGACCCGGCAGCCACTGCTCGGCCTAATTCTGGCAGGCTTACCTCGTTCTGCCTCCGGACCGCCTCTCCCGTCCGCCGATTCCTTCTGCGCCATGCGAATAGCAAGCCTCGTTAGTCTCTCCACGCCGACGCCGCCATCGCCACCGCAAAATCCGCCGGCTATTCGTTTATGATAATGGCCGAGCATCTTCGTTCCCCCGTTATCGACTGACTTCCTCGGTGCTCTTTTTTCGCGCTTCTTCCTCGTTGCAACGCGCCCGATCAAGCGAGTGCCTTACAAGTGCGTTTTATTTCGAGTACACCATTTAAACGACGACAAAGGCATTCCACTCGTCCGTCGTTCCATCCTCTGCCATATCTGTTCTGTCGAATAAACTTGTTTCTCCGATCGAGCTGCACTATACCACCACGACTGCTCCAACGTTTACTCCTTGTTCTCGCTCTTCTTCTCGTCCCAAAGCCCAAAGCTGAGCAGTAGCTGCTTGTCGCCGCAATCAACCACGAACGTTATCATAGCAGAACCTATCGAGATAGCCATGAATTATACGTGACTCGCTGATTTTATTCATAATCTCAAATATTTTTGAATATTACAGATAATGCTGTGTTGTACACGAGTCTTACGCGGAATGGCTTAAAAAGTCTAACAAGCTATCAATTATTGAAATGCATACATGGTACTTACAGATTGTAATTTTATTTGGCAACAAATAATATTGTTTTATACAGTCAGCGTTTTGGTATTTCAGGTCAATAACATTTTTCCCTTTAATTACATCAATGATATTGCGCTTCCATACCGAAGCAAATCACGACCTTTATTCATTCATTGTATATAACTCGTGTTTATAATAATGTTACCCTATATAGCTTTTCTGATGTAACAAATAACATAGTTTTACATCATTTATACATGAAAAATTATCATATACGTTTTTCTTGTCGCAGCACATTTGTATTAATTCAAATTTCTAATAACATTCCATTTAATCATTCACAGTTTCGTATTACATATTTTTATTACTAGATGAAGCTTTTACTCCAAGTTTATTTTCCAATTCAACCGTATCGTTTGCACTTTATGAAATATTCAGTTGAAAATAACCGAATGAAGTCATGTACTCTGGATCCATATTTGCCATCGTTCGTTTAAAAATAATTCCCCGCTAAAAGATAAAAACTACGTTGAAAATACTCTTTATTTTTGTTTCTAAAATTATTCATCTTGCACCGTTTCATACATCATCTCCATATTTTATTGTAATTATTCGGAAAGTACCGTAGATATATTATAACTTGCGAGTGTAGGATAGTCAATATAATTATTATTTGAAAAGTTTTGATGTAATTTAAAAATAGCCGGTTGGGTTAATCAGATCCATTCATGTAAATGAAACTGAATTGAAGAAATAATGCCGATTTACAGTTTATAGCAGAAGTCATGTGAAATCATATTAAAAGTAAGAGGATATACCATTTGCCGTATTAACGTCATTAGTATTCGGTAATTTGATTAGATCTTAGCACGGCAAGTTGGTTATTCGTTCTAGCTTTCTAATCGGAAAATCAAAATTCTTTTAGTCGTCTGACCTAATTGCCATTTCCCAGAATTCTTGGCTAAAATAAGAGTTACTCGACAGTCGGTGCACAACTATAGTGGTTATTATCCTGGTGGCTTGAAAGGCTGAAATTCATCATCATATCTATTCGTATTTCGTTGCTAACGCGGTTATATATAACACCATAAAGAACACTTGCTCATATCGCAGGGGCAATCATTACGGCATGAAGCAGTAAAGTGGTAGCCGAGCCGAAATTCGCGGAACATCATTAGTACCTGCTCGCGTCTCGATAAGCCACGTTTTTTCGTTACAAATGCGTTTCTTTTCCCCTCATCGCTCTTTTTTCGCGCTGCTCGCAATCGCACATCTCTCTCTCTCTCTCTCTCTCTCTCTCTCTCTCTCTCTCTCTCTCTCTTTCTTGGTCGCTTGAGGTTATATTTTCCAATACATACGAAGCGCATAACAATAAATACATCATTTCTCAAATAAAAATAGGGAACAATTTACCTAGCTCTAAAATATCTATTCGCTTAGACTCTACATTAGTTATGATCAGAGGCGAAGAGAATGATTTTCCATTGCTCTCTTTATTTCTGAATAAGGGAAGCACGCGTTCAATCATATATACCTGTTACATTTATAAAAATTGCGTGCTTGTTGTGCTTTGTTAAGATTATTATTATTTATTACAAGTCTTCGTATTTTTCAATTACCCAATGTATATAAACGTTTATTCAACGAGAATAGGAAGCATTGAATGGAACCTTCAAGCTATTTAAACTAACAACTCGAAATCCAATGAGAAGAAACTCGACATTTTTCGATCGGATTATACGCATTGCTCCTGTAAAAGAGTATATTCGAACATCATTTAATGAAATAAAATTCCAAATCACTGCGCTTCTTAGACAAAGATTGTAACAAAGTCTTTCTGTGATCACTTTTTTTTATCAGTCACGCTGATATGAAACATTTTTGCATGTTCGATGTCAAGTGTTATATGTACAAAAACTTTCGAACGAACGCATTTCATCAATGTATTATGCAAATATTTAAATACACACTATAACAATAGTCCTACATTTATGCAATGGATGTCGTGTAACCAACATAATTTTAAATGATATTGTTTAGTTGCAAAGTTATTCAAATGAAAATTGACAGTGAGTGTATACCGTAAATTCGATCAACAATTAACCAAGGATGATTATGGCCTATGATTATGGACCTGATTATCAGTCTACCATAATCAGTTACCTTAATCAGACCCATGTTATATTGTTTAACGTTCAATTTGAATCCTGCAACATATGTATTAAATCATGAACTTTGCTCATCGTAAGTTTGAATATGTCGTCGGAATTTTTAAGGAATTTACGTAAACATATGAAAAAAAATGTCATCACGTTTTCATTGCGTAACTTATTTATCTTATCTTCTTTATATACAAATTATGTTGAGCATCTCTACTATTATTAATATTTTCCGAGGAAAGGGGAGTTTCTCGCGATAAGATAATAGTATAAGTCAAGATTAAAACGTACTTTGCACTTAATCAGTCGATTGATTATCCCCATCAAAATGAATAACCAGTTAGCAAATGACGCTCGAATGCAATGAAATGCTGCTAGAAATAACCAATGAAAATCAAGTATAAAATTTTCTATATGGTATTTTTAATTTTTAATTGATATTTGAATATTCACGCCTGTATTCCTGATTATCTACTATTTTGAAAACGCCACAATGATTAAACATCAAAAGCATTAGAAAGTTTTTAATTTTTACGAATGTACGCGAACAGCGAGAAAAATATACCGATGATCCTTATTCGAATTGGTGTAAATGAAAATAAATGAGAAAGATCAACGAAGCATTATTATCGAGGTGACGGGGGTCAAGACCCCACAGCGCTTTGCATAACGAGAAATGGCTTACGCGTTTCAGCTGCAACAGAGCAGCAGCATCGGCACGAGCAAGCTTGCGCTGGATAAAAGCGAGGATTGATGGGTCGCCCTGGCTCCGGCGAGCTGGTGGTGAGGAGGCCGTCTGCCCCGCGACTTCGCCTGGCCACCAGCCGAGTTAGAGTGGCTATGGCTGCGAGACCGATTGCGGTGCTCCGAGTGTTGCTGGTGCTGGTGTTGCTGGTGTCTCGTGTCGCCATAGTAGACCGAGTGGTCGAGCGACTCTGGCCGCTCCATCGACTGCTGCTGCAGCTGGTTGTGGTCCAACTCGTTGTCCGACTCCACGTAAGCTGGCTCGCTCGGCGCCTTGTGCTTCAGCGCGTTCTCGATCACTGCACATGCAACAAGTCACACGCCGCCTTCTCAATCGCCTGCTATCGCTCACTGCTATTTCAAACAAGCGATTTCCTGTCAATCATCTACCTGATCACAGTTCACTTTTTATCGATTTTTTCGGTTCAAATAACGTGCCAAATGCATCAGTTTAGATAATATACACGAGCTAAAGGAACATGGACAGAAATACGATTGGATCTAGATCACAAATTCACGGCGAACAATTAAGTAGATTGTAAGTATTCGCACTGAAGTCTGCTATAAATTAGCCGCGTTACGTGATTCGACATGCCATAAATATATCAAGAAAATAGATGCAATTATATAAATGACACGATTGGAAAATTGATGTTCTGTAATTGCTGTCCAGCGATAATTAACGTGGGAAAAATCATTGAAAGTATCACTGACTTGAGCAGAAGAGTGTACAATTTTTAAGATATATAACTTATATAATATAGGTGAAAGTGTTTTTCAACTGCTTGTAAAAATACAACGGAAAATTTGTAATTGTAATATCGCAGCTCCGCGGAATCATTTATCTGTAAGACGAAAATAAAAGGAATATCGAGAGTGCTAAAGAAAGGTGAGACACGATGCCGAGGAGAAGCGACGATGCTGGCAGTAGCAAAGAAAGCAAATCGACAGCCACTGAAACATTAATCAAATAAAACGATGGCAGAAACATCGAAATTGGTTTATTGAATTATTCGAGCTTACGGCGGCACCAGCTATGCACAAGGCAGAAAAGAAATAAAGCAAAATTGGAGTAGATAAAAGTAGCTCCGAAGCAAACTGAGTGTCACCATCTCAAATGTATCGCTCAAGAGAACGCGACGTTCATTATTCGCGTAAACGCGAGCTCGTTGTTAAATAAAAGGATTCAACAGAAGAGAGGATGAATTTTAAGAAAGCTTGGTCGGATATTTGTCGCGCAGTTGTCGGCAAGAAGGCGAAGGCGATCATTCGTTCGAATTAAAGCCGTGCAGGTGCGTGGAGAGACGGCAAATAAAATTGAAATAAGTTGGGCGTGACGCGTCACTCGGAGGAATTCAAACATAATTCCGCTCTCGCCTCTCTCGTCTTATCTCGTTCTCTCTTTTAGATTCGAAGGAGAAAAATCCCGGAAGGCTTCGGTCGCAAAGTGAGGATGCATGTACAAACACCTCGTCCTCTTTCTTCAGCTAGCGCAGCGCACAGCTGTAAGATAAATCTCCTCATGCGCATTATCCTCGTGTGACGATCGCTTCCGAGACTTCTCATAGGCTTTCCTACACGCGCGCACGCCTCGTCCCGTGTAATATGTTCCAAATCTGATTTCTCGCCAGAAATGCCGGTGCCAATTCGTATTCGGCTTTTCCCCGCGCGTTCAAGCAAAGCGTATTTTTTTCAGAAAACATCCAAGCTACGTTCTTATAAGATCGACGCGCGCGCGCGCGTCGGCGGCCAGTTGAACAGAAGCGTTTCTTACCGTACAATCGAATGCTGCTCTCGACTTCTCCGTGAGAATTTTTGGCAGCACACCTGTACGTGCCGATGTCTTGTCCGGTGAAGTTGCGAATGGTCAGAGTCATTTTCACTTTGTAATTGAAGTTTGGGTGGGAACTGTGATGGCCTTTGGTCGCATTCTTATGCCTAGGCCCACTGTTCGCCGTCACAATGTCCGTTGTCACAACGTCGTACCTCCTGTCATTGCTCATTATCATAGTACCTTGAATGCAGCAAATACGAAGGAAAGCGTTCAGAGATGTTTTCGGGTCGAAACAGAAGAGATAACGGAAATGAGCTTTCCACGAGAAAATAGCAGTGAAAATTGCGCGTCGATCGGCCGAAATAGAAGTGACAGCTCGCGCGTGCAATGGCGAAACAACGCGCAAGTTTGATCGAGGCGGGCAGCACGAAAAGTCGACGGGGCTCGGAGAATCTGGCGATGGTCTTTCTGTGGCGGCCGACCCACCGACCAACCGACCGGCCAACCGACCGGACGGACAGGGGCTAAATCTCAATAAACATCTATCGCTTATCCGCGCTGAGTGGGCGCCCCGGCTTGGCTGCAAACCCGGCGGAACTTGGCCTCCGCTGCGCTCCCAACGATAAGCGCTCATAGCTGCCCGGCTATCGCGCTATACACTGGCATGTTCGACTATTCGCCCGCGCGCCTCAATTTCCAGACGTTTGCTTGGCCTCACCGCCGAGCCAAAGTTCCAGGCCCTCCCCCCACTGATCCGCCTGCTCGCTCGTCGATCCGAAGCCTCGCGGACCAAGTTCGATCTGCCCGATGCTCGTTATCCATTCGACGCTCAATTTCTTCCTTGCGCGCAATTCCCTCGAATGAGTGGCGTCCAAGCGATAACTCGAGCGCAACTCGTGCACGCGACGAAAAGAGGGGCGACACCCAAGCGCGAGCGTCGCAGAAGACGCGGACGAGGTAGCCCCGGCGATGGATCGGACCTCGCGCGCCGCCAGCCGCACAACTTGATAAACTTCGGCTCGCAAGGCTACGGCCTCAGCGTTGCGGTCGCGTGCGGCCCGCGCCACCGATCTTTGCACTCGCGGTTACTTCGCCCTCGGCTGCCTTGCCGCATAGATACACGACTAGCTTTCTTTGCGCGGCGCGCGCTAACATCTGCGCTTAATGAAACTATAGCCGCGCCCTAATGCGGCACACTCCGCGTAGACAATCTACGCGCGAGCGCCCTCGCGCTAATTGTCTTTTATCTCGTTACCATTACTGGCAATAACCCATTTGCCCGTTCCTTTATTTGTCGTGCCTTTCATATCAGCGACCAATTGTAAAATTTCATGGATCTGCTTACCATTATTATTGATCCAATAATTAATCAAAACTGGCGAAGCTTCGACGAAACATTCCAGCCTTACGTCGGTGCCAAGAGGAGCGCCGACTAATTGGTTTAGTACTTGTATCGCTGGCGCAACTGTTAAAAATGCCCATACTCTTTATTTCTTGTTTTCACGTGCACGCGTTATTCTGGAATTAGGACACTTACAAAATACGTCGACGATGATTCGTTTGCTGATACCAGGAGGCACACCATTAGACGCGATGCACAAGTACACGCCCATTTGGTCTCGAGTGATCTTTTTTAGATAAAGCTCCTCGCCGGTCCATTCCGCTATTTTAGACACTATTGCATCATTAAAGCATTTCTTAGATATTGTCGATCATCGATCATGCTTGATCGCATTCACAACTATTTTTTGACGCGAAATAACGGCTCCTAATATATTTAAATTTCACGAAAACTTATGTCTCGAAATATGAGTTACATAGTACTTCATTCATTTTTATGATACTAGTACAAACTCTCTTTCAGCTTATTGCAAATATACTCACTCTTTACATTACTAAACTCTAGTTTTTTTATACAGTCTGAATGTATGAATAAAATCTCGGAAAGCTGCCATTTCAAGTTCAGACTGCAGTCAAAAGATTCCAAGTATACTAGCATAATTCCTTATCAGTCGATTGTTTATAATTTATCATTATTCAATGAATAGACACATTATACGGTACCAAGATAAAATAAAAATATCTCGATTTTCTTTTCACATACTAATAAAAGATATAATCGATAAGTTTCATAAATGTATTGAAATATTCACAAGTACAATATATATATTTTGTAAAATGGCGGGTGATTTAACATAGAAATTGATTTTCTTTAAATATTTACCTCTGCCTCGTAATGAAATTAACTGGCTTCATAACCAATTAACGAAGAAAACTGTAAGTGTTCCATTTAAAAATGTTTCCTGGGAGGTATAAATAATAATTCAAGGAGTCTTGAGTATTGAAAGAACGAAAAAATAAATGTTCTCAAGTAACTAGTATAACTTTCAATGCATTTTTTTCAATGAATACTTTTTAATCTTGTCCAAATGATTAAGGTCAACATGAGTTGATACGACATCAGAGAAAATTATTATTATCTAAAATGAAGCTGCTACATAACGATTTATTCTTATCGCGTAATAGCCATTAGTATTTTTCCAATCTCTGTCGAATGCAGTTTTCATTGACAAATGTTGAGTTCTATTTGACAGCCCAATATAAAAGACTTTCAGTTCTTCGTCAGACTCCCTTTGATCCTATATTTTGAATTCAAGTTCGAGTTCCTTTGATCATTTATTTTGAATAAAACGTGAATCTTTTATTGATCAAAGTTATTTCACTTTACGAATCTTATAATTTGTAAAAATAATTCGTTGTGTATCGAGAGTAAAAATAGTGTGATCTGTAAATGTGATAGGTGAAATAGTACAGCGGATATAACGTAAGTTGAAAGTAAAAACTGCAGCGTCACGAGGTTGTACTACTTATGTTTATAAGAGTGTTCATATATACGTAATTCTTAATAGACGACAAGTAATACATAAGTGGTTTTAATCGAAAATCCTGTGTCGCTGTTATAACAAATAACTTATTCGACAATTGATCAAAGCATATTGATGATATAAATATCGCGGTAAATTACTATTTTGTATCCTTTTTGAAATAGTAGCTTTACGAAGGTTTTTAAGTAATCTAATTTATTCTTGATATTTAATCGTCAAGTGAATAAACTCCAAACAAATCTTTCAAGTCTAATGATTGGTGCAAATAATAAAAATAAATAAATGTTCTATTTATGATAATTAAAAATGTTATCTTATATAAATTACTCTAAGAAATTGATATTAAGTAAATATTACTAATTCGTAAAATCTCAACAAATAACCCTTCCAAAGTAATTTACTAATTTTACATATTTTCATTGAACTTCGAATATATATTCCAATGACCTATAAATAGAAAAAGAACTCATTCCATACCTTTAACTTTGCCATTAGGGCTAGTTGATTTTTCATAAAGAGGTTCTCGAATAATTATACTTTTATGATCTTCCCGGCGCCAAGTGATTTGTGGAATGGGTATACCAATAGCTCGACACTGTAGCTTTAACTGTAGGTGATTGTAAAAAAGTTATTATTAATCATTAACTATGATTATTGGAAAAATTTAATTTTAAGATATAATAGAAAATTCAAATATATAATATATGTATTGCAATTTTCAAGCAACTTCACTCTGTTTTTCCTAATAATTGATTTTTTATACTAAAAATTGCTAAATTCGCATAATCCTCTTAAAAATAAAATCAACAATAATCATACAATAAATGCTTTTACTAGTTTCCTAAGTGAATTACGTATTTTATCAAATATATCATTTCGTAATATAATGTAAACCTGCACATAGGTATATATTTGAATTTAGAACTACCTTTGTTGCCCAGTATGTACTTACATCATTTCCTTCGGCAACATTCACGTCACTAGAAGTTTGATCCTTTATAAAATCTGGAGGAACTTGAATAAGAAGCGATGCCGTCTGCAACATATCAAAATCGCACACGCGTAAGATCTGCTGCATATCGTCGTCATTAAAATTATAGTTTTTTGAATCTGGGGATGAAAATTGAATGTGTAAAAATAGTTAGTAATGTGTCATGCTCTCTTTAGAAATATAGATTGGCTCTCAGTGGGTACTTATAAATTTCCATATGATTAATTTTCTTTTGTTTTTTTTATTTACTTCAATATACCATTAAAAGTTATTTTATCCAATAATCCAACTGTAGAAATTGAAGCTGTGAACCATAAAGAAAGCTGTGAATGATTTCTTTCAAAAAATTTAGCCCCAAGAGAATGATGTAATTTTCAGTTATTGTTTATTGTTATTACTTCTATTGCTATTTTTCTAGAATCATACAAAATGTCTTTTTGTTAGAGTAGTTTGCTTAATTTTTAGTTATCCCATCAATGTGGTGTTTTAAATAAAATAATAGTGTTTGATGCGTAAATAAATAGTTGATTTCAAAAATTACAATTTGCGGAAATTGATAGTTAAATGTAACAGGAAACATGTTCATGTACAGGTTGTATGAAATTACATGACGAAGTACGATCAGCAACAATCTGCTCTGACGTCGATTCAAACTATTTCTTCATGCAAAAAAAAATAAATAAATAAATATTGATTGAAAGTTGCAAAGCTATCATTCTTTCCAAATTCAACGTTACACAACTTTAATAATAGTTTATTATTGATTTGTTATCAAGTATTATTATTGTTACTCCAAATCAATTCAATTTTTTATCAATTGTTTATTAAGTTGATCTAAATGATAGGAAGGACAATACAATAGCCATCGAAACTTGAATGAATGGACATTGAACTTATTATTTATGAAAGACTTCATTTATAATGGATCGAATAGCAAAAATGTATGTGATCAATGGGATCATTTGAAGATTAGCAATAACGTAAATCCAGTTACATAAAAATAAATGAAATTACGCAAATCCAACTTCTCAATACATAACATTGTCTTCCTCTTTTAACAAAATAAAATTTTAGAATTTTACGTTTGATACTCCAATATAAGAATAAAAAAATAATCTTCATTTTTTTAATGACCTCAATCAAATCTTATGCTTGAACAACAGCAAAAATAGTTTGTAAGAATGCTTAAATTTCGAAACCATTAGTTATTGAAAATCTGTTATACGTCATTTCCTTCAAGCAAGTAGGAAAATTCGTATACAGATTTTTAATTAATATAGCACGAGGCCTTCGGTTGTATTGAGTTTATGAAGTGCAGTAAAATATCACATGTTCTACTACTACTTCATCATCTATTACTACGAGTTCATCATTGGTGGAAGAATATTACAACGCGTAGATGTATTTAAATGTCACTGGTGGAAGGAATGGCATCTTAATTTCTTTTACTTCTTGAATTCATGGAATGATATCGCATATCGTAGAACGACTACGTTGGAAATATTAGAGATTGTTTGTTATATTGCACTATTACATTACTGTATTACATTGTTTCCTAGATTGCGTAGAATATTGTACTCTTGAGTGATATAAAGCACTTACACGTTGCGAGGTGCGTTAAAACTAATGCTTGAAACATCGGTGCACTCGCAGTGCAGCGTCGTTGATCACATAAGTGCAAGCTTGTACTAGTCCATAGGCGCCATGGAAAGTCAAGTATATCACTCGTGACGAATACAAAAACTTACGGACTTTGCAGCTGCATCTTGACTAGGCAAAATAACTTCACTCACGTAGAATTTTTCTAACATTGTACTTTCTGAGCTTTTTGACGTAACACCAATGTTGTATATTTTGAATTGAATGTATATATCTATTAAATGAATACACACTCGACTAATGGTACATGCAAGGTTTTAATTACGACGGACTAAATATAAAAATGTACACGATCTGAATATTAATAACATTAATTCATTAAAAATCAATACAATTATGTACATCAAACCTGCAAATACAAAACAGTATATTTGATGTAATAAAGTTTTTACAAATGATTACTTCCAAAAAATCGTTTACGACGTTTTAATACTGAAATAAATCTATTATTCCAAAGTTTCTTTTGAGATCTTTCTATGTAATATGTCAACAGCAGTTAAATATACATAATAAATCGGTGGAATAAAATGTGTTTCAATTAAGAAATAGCAAGAACCTTCTAGATGCTTTTCAAAAAGAGGCACTCTGATAGACCACTTGAAAATAATAATTTCACGGAAATGTTTTCACTCAGAAAATTAATGACGATCAAGACAAAGTTTATGCTCCGTAAAATGAATGTAAACCGAAAACAACTGCTGGATGCTAACTCATTAAGATCTTAGAAATCTATTTATCTAAATTAAGATCTAAGAAACCAACGATAGAGAACCATTAACTAATTGTTGCTTATATCAATTTCAGATCAATTTTTAATGCTTGAAACCTTTTTTTCCAAACTGTGGCAAATGTTGTACAAATCGAATAGACTACCAGTATATTTCTATGTTTCACACGTTGCAATAAAAAAAGTATTGCCCAATTAAGATGAAAAGGACGCATGTGCCGTATTGAAGATAGTTTGCCGTTGGATAAGAGCTCGTGTAGTGCATGGTGTTTCAGCCAGCTACAAAGCCTTTTAATTGAATACGAGCCATCGACACGCTTACTCAATGCTTTTAATGAGCGGAAACGTGGTGTCGCACTTTACTTTCCACAAGGTTGTGACAAAAAGTATAGGCCGATCGCGCATCGAACTGTTCCAACTCTTTTTTGTCTACGTACGTACAGCGTGAACGAGGCTTATTTCAAAAAGTTAATAAATAATATGACGATAGATACAATTTTTACTGACTGCATTTTTCTTATCTCTAAACAAGTAATCACCGTATTAGGTGCTCATTCAAATATTAGAAAAGAATTTGATAGAAGGTCTCGGCTATTCATAGTTTGTTAAAATACATTAAAATTGTACGTGTGGCTGGTTATACTTCGATAAACTAACTTATTATTTATTAAGATTCAAATTGTTTAAGTCGCTATAAACAAATTACCAAACATTATAATCTATTTTATTTTCCTTCGAAATATTACTAATCTCATATATAAACAATAGTTAAGGAAAATCCCTCATTGAGGGATTTTCCTTAACCATTGTTTATATATGAGATTAGTAAATTACCAAACAAATAAGCGACATTCTAAAAGCAGCGGCGTATATTTTATTTTATGAGAAATTCACTGAATCTTAAAAATGTGAAGAATCTTAAGTAAATCTTGAGATATATGCAATTTTTTATGCGCCGAGCAGGCCGCTAAGGCAACCACTTCGCGATGTCCCTTCTTGCACAAGTTTTGCGTATATATTCTGACACTTTTGTTCATAGTGCATAGTCTTCAGAAAAATTAAAGAAAGTTATTATTGTTGATTTTTACAGTTTGAATTATCAGAACGATTTTATTAAACGTTATTTTAAAAAAAAGATTCCATACATCATTAATTATGAAATAGCTCCGTTGACTTTTCTAAATACAGATAATATTAATATAATTAGAAGTCAATAATAGATTTAGTTTTTGTTTTTCAAATATTGTATTTATATAACAAGCCAGGCGTATGGCTTTTACATTTTAATGAACTGAACGCAAACATCCCCGATGACTTTTCTAAAAATGCACGGGTAATTTATTATTAAGAAATTACACGTTTAAATAGTCATAAAAAGTTAAATAATTATAATATAAACATTATTTAAGGTACCATACACTTTTCATCGAATGACGAATCCAATTTTGAATTGGAACATCCGAGGAAGCTTCTATCCGATTAACAAAATATTCAACAGGACTCAAGATATTGTGATTTGAAAAACAAAAAGTCATACGGCTGTGCTTGGCCGCGCGAGCGCTACAAGTGGTCTGAAGCATACCCGCTCAACTAAAAATTCAATGTCTTAAGTTCTACTCAACATGTTTTAGATCTATAAAGTTCTATGGATTCTTTGTGAAATCAGAAATGCATGGCAATTTATAAAATGTTAATGAGTTGATTAATAAACTAATATTGGTGATTTAAATAATTAAATTGTCAATAACTAATTATCGCCAGCAAAATTCGGATGCAGGAGCTGAAAATACATAAAGAGCACATGGGCGGAGCCTGTTATGCCCATCGATCACAAAACCCCCCTTGGCCCCTAGACTACAACCGACTATTGAGCGAAGTATCGAAACAAGGTGAAAATTAGATGAGTATATGAAATGAAGGTGATCGGATAGATTTGAAAAGGCTGATAGATTTAATCCATAGTAATTCAGACGAAATAATGAGAAATTCAAAAATACAATGCATGCATTGTAAGTTGAAGCTGTAACATATTTATACTCAAGCTATTTTTAAACATGATAAATAAATTTATACAAATCAACTAATTGAATATTATTCAAAAATATAAATATACAGTTGCATGCAAAAATATCCGGCCGAACATTATTTTTCGATTTATTAACATTGAAAGAATGCAAAACGAAAAACCAAATACACTATCTTAAAGTACATTTAATTTGCAATAAACCTGCGTAATTCAAAAATTTATTTTAACAAATAATAACATTCTATAACGAAAAGTACAAATTTTGCTTATTCATAGGCCAAATATTAAATAGATATAATTATCTTCGGTATGTTTATGTTATTGGTCACAAAGTTATGTAAGCGTTAGGATTGCGTTTCTGTTGTACTTTATAATTAAAATCAATCAGTAACAACCGGTAAACACGCAGAAACTTACGTCTTTAGATATTCGACAAGTCGTTGTTATAATACACAGTGAAGGAACAATTTCACGTGATATAAGCAACATTTTGGCCATTGGAAAATCAGTGGTAAACGACAGTATTAATAATTTTAAGAGTGCTGACAGTGTGGAAGACAAAAAGTTTCCTAGGAGACCGAAAAGACCTACCAGTCGTGTCGACAAATTAACAAAACGAAAGGCTGTTGTAGATGTCAAAAAGAATGCTGCCGCTATTGCACGCAGGCTACGCGAAGAAAATTTGATAGACGCAAGTCAAAGTACTGTTGCACGCTAACTAATCGAAGTGAGGATTTTGAAAGGTGCTAATGTAAAAAATCCGCTCATCAGTAACAAAAATACGAAGGGCAGATTGGAATTTTTCAAACTTTATCAAAATTGGACTGTTGAAGACTGGAAAAAAAGCAATTTTCGAACAATATCCAAATTAATTTGTTTGGAAATGATGGTAAAAGGTATGCACGGTGACTAACAAATACTAGATACAATTCTAGATATCATATACCAACAGTGAAACACAATGGACGTCTTTAGATCTTCAATTGTAGTAGCATTATGCTATAGTGCGTTTTCTTGAAAAGACATTGGTATAATATGCCAAAAGGATGGATTTTTCCAATAAAAAAATCCTTAAATCCAATAAAACATTTGTGGCAAAAGTTAAAATGAGCTATTTTGTGGGAGGAACTTCAAGAATGTAAAAAAAATAATTAAACTTGTTGAGTCGATGCCTCACCGATGTGCTGCCGTGATGGTATTAAAGGATATGGCTACTAAATACTAGTATTTTTGTTACATTTATCACCATTTTCATTGTTTTTTGTTATGTTTCTATATTATTTTCTACAAATGCCAAATTCATAGTTAGCCGGATATTAATGAAAAAGTAAAATTTGTTATTTTCGTTATGAAATGTTGCTAATTGTTAAAATAAATTTTTGAATTCTACAGTTTTATTGTCAAGTGAAAGTACTTTAGGTTGGTGTACATGCTTGTTCATTTGGCATTCTTTATATGTTAATAAATTAAAAAATAATGTTTATCCGAACACTTTTGCATGTAACTGTATAAATTGTTGCAATAATTCCGTTGCACAATACGGATGAATTTTCAATAGTAACAAGTTTCGCTGAACCATATGATAGCGTGAAAATGTTAAATATTATTTTATCGGCATTTTCATCCATTGCAATAGATGAGCTACTGCAATAACAATTAATTAGAAGGTATATGGTTAATTTTAGTAAGCTAACAATATTTCCAAAAAGTTACTGCATTATTATTATTTTGCTATTATCAGTAAAAATCAATATTATAATAAACCTATTTGATTGGAACTGCGAATACTATCATAACATATCTGTATAATAGTAATAATTAACTGAAATCGATCATAAGCTATGTAATTCCTTGACTATTATCATACTCATATTTTCAATATTTTTCTTTTCAATAGCGCTTACTCGTTACAATTTTTAGTAAAAGACTCTACATGTTCACTTGAGAGCAAAGTTATACGCTCGCAAATATTCCACATGTGCTGTAAAATAGCAGCTTGATTTTTGTAAATAAGCGTGAATGAAAAAATTATTAGCGTTTAGGTATTAGAGATCACTACTTTAGTTTTATATTTTTGCTTTATTTTTTATCGATTTATTTATAAAATAGATTCTGTTACCAAAAAATATAAAAATTTTGTAGAAATATTGTACACGTACATATAGATTAGTTATCAGAATCTGTGAAAGATTATGCAAAAAGTTTTTCAATAAGTAGCCTATGATTAAATAAAAAGCTCCGAAGAATATTAAAAAATTTAAACCATTATATATTCTCATTTCGATACATAAATACTATAACGATAACTTATTCATATTTGAAATCAATGAAGATTATAATAATAATCATATATTTTGTTAAAATAATAATTTTATACGTTGATCTATTAAAATCCGAAAGATAATTTCTGAAAAAGAATTTTTTATCCAATAATGTGATCTCGTAATAACAAAATAATGTAATCTTACGAAATGAATATATATAGTGATTTGCTACAAGTAAATATCCCTTTTTTTCCAAAAATTTTCAATTTTAGTTAATATGAAACATTAATGGCTACTTTGAGCAAATATTTTTTCCAAGCAGTGCAATCTTATGTCAAATTATTGAATAGAGATACCTTGTAATAATATGATTCTACTTGAAGCATAACTTCTAGCTATCATTTTTATTATATTTATAACCATAATCAAATACAAGCTCAAGGTAAATAAAGATGATTCTGTAAATTAATTTTAATGAATAAAACTATTTTAATGTAACAAAGTATATAAAAAGACTTTGAAAAAATGATACCAATTGTATTGGCAAAGTATTTTCTTGAAAAACAAAATGAACTATAGTTTTTCTTTTTTATAATATTTTTATTTCATAGAATAACAATTTAGAGTCATGTACATGATTAATGCCACTGCAACGATTAGTACACATTTTACTAAATAGATTTTCACAAATGTACACCCCCCCCCCCCCACACTCGACCATATTTGTAAAAGTTAGAATAGAATTCGTAAAAATTTTTCACAGAAGACCATCACATTAATAAGCTCGTCACATCCATCCGCATGCAGACATATCACGAAAAGATTTTATATTTGAAATCTACACCTGATACCTAATATATAAAGATACATCAAAAATAAATGAACATGAAAATTTTTACAACAGTAAAACTTCCTTTACAAAGAAGCCAAACTACCTACAAAAAATTGAAACAAAATCCTTATTTACCGTGAAATTATAGGAACAAAATAGTACATAATTGTAAATTCTTTACTATGAGAAATTGGAGTTTAACACTTAATTTTTCAACGATTTTCAGATTAGAACATAAAAATTGAAAGACAGTCTACATTAAATGTATATATTCTAAATACCTGGCTTTTCATTGGGTTTGTGTTAATTTGGCACATGTATTGGCCTTCATCTTCTAGTTGCGCACCAGAAATGCGTAAATTCCAAGATGTATGATCGTGGTGAGATACAGAGACACGTGGATTATGAGTTATTACATGGTCATGAATTGCTTGAATAGCTTTTGTATCGACTTTGACCCATCCCACCTGTAATTGGAAGAAAATCTCTATTAGGTTTAGTAACACAACCAATTTTATCAAAAAGAAGACACGATAGTGATAATTGCATAGACGTAACCGTAACGCATGCTTTTGATTTTTCTTTTCAGTATACTGAAATTGTTCCTGCCATTTGTTCAATACAGAACGCAGATGCACTGTCTGAACAATGTGGGAACTTTTAAAATTTTAGAATTTTCTTAAATAATATAAATTATTTTTGCTGTGACCGTATAAAGATAATATTTATTCAGGTGCAACGATTTATTCTTTTTTCACTCGTATAAATAAATCGTATAAATCACACTAATTTGTGACACCAACAAAAGTAATGTTGAATGAGAGTATCCTGAATTAACATATATAAGATAAATATAACTAATTTATCATAAATTTATACATTGTTAGATATAGTAAAATGAAATATTACGTAATATATATAAAGTGAATAAAGATGCTCATAATAATTAGCAGAGTAAGGGCAACAAAGACCATAAGATAAGAAATAATAGATTATATATAATTTATTATAACCTCGAATAGCATATATTTCTCCATACTCGACTGCAGTCACTTAACTGAACTAAAAATAAAAACAGTGTGAGTTGTTTTCTTTTTAATTTTTAACTCTATTGTATTACATTAATCATTTCATCGTTAATCACGAGTACAGTTACAAAGACATTGGCTAAATAAATAAATCAATACAAAAATTTTACTTTTCATATTTTGATAAATAATGTATTATATTTTTTCTCTTTGTTATCATAGGATTTCAACTTTGAAACTAAATTAGAATGACGAAATCGGAGTACTTCTGTTTTTGACTTGAATAATTTGTGATCACAAATTTATTACAGTACGAAGTAATATATATATATATAAATAATTTTAAATAATTATATGTATTAATAAAAAAATAGAATATAATATTCTTCAAGTACAATAAAAATAAATGTAAGTAATGTAAATTAATCGAACACTTTTCACAATGCAAAAAGCATATACTAAGCGATTACCCTATCAAGGTAATGAATTATAAGCTATGAATCTATGATCTCGAAGAGATTCCGGCATTACATACTAAATTTTTCCGCTGATACTTGGAAATTAATATATTGAAATCACTTTTTTTGGAAAAATTATGAATATACGATATTTTTGTATTTTCAAAAGTAAATTCCTACGTATGTATGATTATTCATTGTTGAGTTCGGCTTTTCTTGATTTTATCAACGTTGATCAAATAAATTTTTTAATATAACAATGGAACAATACAATATCATGTAAAACATACTTATACACAAATATATTCAAATAAATAAATAAAGAAAAATAAGCTATTAAACAGTTGAAGCTTGAGTCCTAATTGTGTGGGTTACAAATTAATAGAGTGATAGGTTGGCCATTGCAGCCCAGTCGGAATAAAAGTAAATTATGCTTAAACGAAACTCACTTTATAGCCACCCAAATGTTTAACGTGGCAAGTGAAGACTGCGTCTCGACCAAGTGCGATAGTCAAGTTAGTGAGAGGCTCGTTAAACTCTGGTTGAGTGGCTCTACCTGAAAATCACAATAAAACCACGCGTACAAATGTAATTACTTATATAATAAAATTTTAAAGGAAAAACCGTTAACAAAATCGCTAAAAAAAGAGAACTCATAAACAGCTAACAGTGTTCCTATTTTCAACGCTTAGAACTGCCGTAATTACGAGTGGCTTTGAAAAAACATATTGACTAAGCTCAGGTTGGTGCTACAGGTCTATATCATAAGCTTACATTATTAAACATATTTCTACATAAGTCCATCATTGCTGCAAATTCTCAATGAACACAGTAATCACACACTTCAATATTGCACCACTAAAATCCAGAAAGTTACAGAATATTAGATAAAAATACCCACTATTCATAAATAATATGCAACTTCGATCTCACAGTTTCTAACCATTATTTCATTATTTAGAATTCGCTTTATTTCCTGTTGGAAAAAGTGAACGTATATTTATTTATATGGAAGATAAATTGATAAATTCAGGTCAATTAATAATTCGAATAAATACGATGTTTTATGTATTCAAAATTCCAATAGCCCCTGAATTGTTTATATATCCTTTTTATGTTGCTTATCTAGTGTCTAGTGGCAAAGAAAAAATATAGACAATGCACACTACAAGAAAAAGTATAGTGCCTTTTCGCATCAGATCGTGGAACAGGAATTATATTTAAATATAGTCGGAAAGGTCGTGGACTTATTAAGCAACTTGAACGAGAGGGTGGAACGATTGGTCCCATGTCTGTTTGTCGAACTCGTCAGTATGGCTATCACGAGCAGACACTGCCATGGACACCGACGTTACAACAAATACACTGATTTAAATGTTATTCGAAATAAATCGAAGTTTCGCACGGCTTTCGCAGCTTTGTCCGCGTAGCTTGTTAGCCCAAGAGCGTCTTGGCTTTTCCACACATCGTTTAACTCACAACTTATTTCAGTTTTGGTTACTTTTCTTAAGATAGTGGTCCGTAGCAATACCAGAAAATCTAATCTCTAATCACATAATAGAGTGAAAAATAATTGACCCATATAACTGGATAGTCTACTGATAATCTACTTGGTGTAGACGAACGAAATCCGATAAACCAAAGTTGCGATCGAACAAGCGTCGGAGAAAAAGTAACCGAGGAATATTATTAAACTACGTAAAGCACATGTCCCTCTACTCAACCTCTTTAATTCGCTCGACGATAGCTCGTTCAGTCTGTTCCACAATTAATGGCTGCTCTCTACAGCTCGTTTGCCACTTCTCCGTCTCTCTCTCTCTCTCTCTCTCTCTCTCTCTCTCTCTCGTACTCGATTATTTTTTGCTATACCTACCTATCGTTTCGACTCATACTGCGTTTGTTCCATACGCTCAGCTATCCTCCGACGAATCTTTTCTCTATATTTTCGCATGGATATTATGAATTTTTTGCTGCTACATGGAAAAAACGCTGTAATATTTGCGTATAAAAACACTGAGGCGCAACCAAAGCTGATTAAAGATCATAGAACAAATACTAGAATAACAGAAAAAATCTTTATAATATTACATTATTTATTTATACCGACTATATAAAAAGTCAATTCTATATTCAATCTTAGTTTTCGTTTTTTCTTGGCTTTACTGCAATAAAAAACTTTGTGATTTTAAATCAAAATCTTTCGTCAAGACTATTTAAAGTGAGCTCTATTGTTCAAATACATCAGGATTTCGATCAGAAACGAAAAGTAGAGAAACAAATACAGAAAATGAAGAGGAATGCTCTATGCCAAATAAGGAAATAAGCCACCTGGGACTTTGTAGGAGCCCATCTTTTTTCTATACGTAGGAAAAGAGGAGAGAGAAGAGGACAAACAAGAAGAAGAAAGTAGATGATCGAACGAAATATCTCATATGTTTTGAGACGAGCGAAAAGATACAGAAAACTTGGAATCGTGTATCTGAAATTCTATAAAATTAATATTTTTTCTGTGTTCCTATATAAACTTGTTACTCATTGAAACTTTTTTGAGATCTGAATTAATTTACTATCTCATATGATTATTTCTAATGTGTTTTATTACCGATTATAATAAATGGATATTTTTAGATCATAGATATTTGAACAAAGATTTTCACTATTATTCACGGGTAGGTTAAAAAATTATTATATGCTCTAAAAAGCATAAGGTATGCAATAAAAAAATATAAATTTTACTTCAAAAATATTTTCATATGAATTAAATTTTTGCAGCTTAAAGACGTAATAATGTGAAATTTTTCTATTATTTGTAAATCCATGATAATCTCAAATGATAGTGTAAGTAGTATCATCACTTCACATATTTAAGGACGTTCTCTTGTATGTGAGGCTTTTCACCCAAAATTACGCGTGGAAAAAACGCTATACGCTTTCTACTCGCTCGTAAAAGAATAATTATTGATGAATTGAAGCGAAAAATTTTAAGGACATTTCATATAGTATCTAGTTTCGTATAGTCTTTTTTTCGAAAAATCAATATGTACTTTTGTTTATTTAGAAAAATTTATAACTTCAGTAGTTGAGAAATTTGTTACGGATGGACAAAACTCTCTTATGAATTGCCGTAAATGAAAATTTTTTTAGTACTAAATTTTTTCTAAAGATCTCAAAAATATATGTATCAATTTGGAGATGTTAATAATTATGAGAAAAAATTATATAATTAAGCAATTTCATGGAAGAACATTACAACAAACGCGCCATGGCTTGTTAACAACAGCTTATAACATTTAAGAATTCACCTTCATCTATGTTTTTCAAGATACTATCCGTTTAGGAAGTATTAATCTTAATTTTATCTAAATCTTCTAAGTCATTCTGTGTGAATTTCCTATTTATTAGAGACTGTATAGAAATATTTTCTTGTGTTTTAATTGAAGAGTCCGCAAAAAACGTCTTTAGAAAATCGTGAAACTTTGAGAAAATCAAGATTAGTACATCCCGAATGGAAAAGCATGTTAAAACAATAGGTAAAGGGAAGTTTGTACAAGTTACACACTATGCTATCAAAAAGCCATGGCGCGTTTGTTGTCCTTCCATTAAATTGCTTCTATAATTTTCTTTTCATGATTATTAACAACTCAAAATTGATACATATATTCTTAGGATCTTTAGAACAAATTTAGTACTGAAAAAATTTCCACTTTTGACATTTCGTAACAGAGTTTTGCCCATCGAAGTTACGCATTTCTGAACTCTTGAGGTGATAATTTTTTCTCAATGAACGAAAGTAGATATCGATTTTTGTAAAAGACTAGAAAAAATTAGATACTATGGGAAATATCCTCAACATTTTTTGCTTCAGTTCATCAATAATTATTCTAATCGTAATTTTTCCACGCGTAATATTAGGTAAGAAGTCTCACTTACAAGAATAAATGCTTAAATATGTGAAGTGACGATACTACTTGCAGTATCTTTTGTACATATAACTACAACTTGTACGTAGAAAAAGTGTGCAACGCTTTTACCATGCGTAAAGTTGGGTAAGCACTCACACATACAAGAGAACGTCTTTTCGGCAAAGAATACAGGTGCGATGAAATATGTTTACAATTATAAGATAAATACAGAAATAAATAAGCAGCACTTTGATAAAGAATAAAAAAGATAGAAAAAAAGAAGTGAACAGGCGCGAAGGAGTTTCCCGGCCAATCGTAAAATGAGAGAGGCTTGAGAGGCAGAGCGAACTGATTTCAACTTAATTTATTCGCGTTGTCGTCGCAAAGCGTGAATAGCCATTCGTTTCACAGCCAGCTACAAGCAGCTAAGACGCGAAAGAGAGATAGAGAGAGAGGGAGAGAGAGAGAGAGAGAGAGAGAGAGAAAACGAGGCTTCGTTAGACTCGCCGTCGAATTTCTCAATTTGGCCAAACTTCATCCTTTCGTAAAAGAGTGAATGAGAAGGGGGAGAAAGACAGAAGGAGAAACAAGAGGAGATGTACTATACGTTCCCGCCCCGTTGTATCCTTCAGACTTTATCTGTTATCTCTGTGCTCCCCTTCTAGCTGTAAGCTTACTTTCGTCTTATGCTATTTTTCGGGCATTCAAATTTAAATTAATATTTTCGACGCTAATTAAGCTTTATCGGAATCGCACCTGAGCTTTTCGCCTCTGATCTTCCATCGCAGTCCACTGATTTCGTGTTTGCTAATTCGTTAAGATTATTACGACCTCCTTGTATTATATCATTTAAAACCAGGATTAACTCGAAACCGTTTGCTTTTTACTTTTTACAACGCTGTTTCATCAGCAAATAAGCGATAAGAGTAAATAAGAGTACAAGCTCAATGAGCTTTCATCATTTTTATGCGTTCATCCAAAACTGTGTGTTTTCCAAGTGATCATTTTTACTTTTTATGTGAACCGTTAAATGTATGACTTTCAGTGTTGTACTTGTATATCTGATGATGTACGATGTTTTATTTTATTTTCTTTTTACAAATTCTCAAAAAATCAATTGAGTTGAATCCTAATACGAAAGTTATGTCGTCTATTATTTAAATTTGCCAATCACAATTACCCTTCATTCAAAATTAGAACCTAATACTGACATGCAATCTGAGCGATTGAAACTCTGTGTTTTATTTATTTACTTTATACGTATGTCTCCGTGTATGTCTGGAACAGTTCGAGCGATTTTAACAGCGAGATGCTTCCGATTCATTATTGACTTGACTGAAGCGTATGTCCGTTTCGTACAGATACCGATTCTACGCGAATTTAAAAATTTTGAAAACATCAAATACTATTTGTTAGAAAAGAAGATATTATAGAAATTTCTGTAAAAAGTTCCAACGAAAAATAATTGATTCAAAGTAATCTCCATATATAAATATTTCATGTTCTGCAGAAAATTTTGTATCGATTAACATCGTTTCTTAATTTTTCTTATTATACAAAGATATAGAACCATATAATATTTCATTTTTCTCAGAAAACAAATCTATAAATTCACGTCGAATAAAATGGTGTAGAATCGGTAATGGTATAAAACGAACGCAGTCTATAATTGAACATTATTATATTTTAGTATTAATTACCAGTGAATTAAGCGAAGTGATAGTCTGGATATTATAGCAGGGCACCATATAAAATTATGTCTGTACTCTATGTGATCATATATCTACAATTTTCATGCAACGGAAATGATGATGATAATTGCAAAGTGTGATTGGAAAGATTAAGTATATAAAGGATCTCACCTAAATTATCACCTGGATAAATCATCAAAGTGAATAGCACTATAAAAAACGCCTTCTCCCGATCGATCATTCCGGGTTAAAAATGTTGAGCTGAAAAGTAAAGTAATACGAATAAATATTTCAAAGGAAACAATATAAGTGATTTTAAAAGGAAAATAGTGATTAGGAAATAAGTAAGAATTGTTGGTAAGAATAAGGTGCTAGAAGCTACTGACGTGCTCTCTACCATAAGACGACTACTGGAAGCTTTCAAATGGAGCAAAAGAAAGCTGAAAGGAAAGCGTAAAAACTGTCGAAATTATAGTGATCTACGAGGAATTGGTTCTACGTTGCAGTAACAACGTTCGACTATTAGTCTTCACTACTTGTAAACGAGATCTAAGGTGAGTAGGTTTTCTGTACAGTGGAATACGGCGATGTTAATAGCGTTGAGTTTTTCTGAAAAAGTTGGATAGCAGCTGCGTTGCAACACTTTGATCCGGTAGAATTGATTGGATAACAGTATACGAGCGACGTATTAAAAGACAAAGGAATAAGCGTGAACTCTGGTTGAGCGTGTACGCGTGAAAGTTGGATGCAGGCGCCGCGGAAATTCGGCATGAAGGATTGCGTTCACATTGAGCATTAAACTAGCGCAATTAAATTTTAATTAGAGAGCTGAATAAATGGCGGGCCTCGCTGTTCCTCAGCCGGACTGTTGGCGCTTTGCTCGGGCTGGCGGCGCTCTCATCTTCATTTCAGGTGCGGCCAAAGACGATTAAGAAAAGTAGGCGGGCGCGCGCGCAATTCCTCCGGTGGAGCATAATTTTTTGCCGGGTCGAAGCCGCGCGCACGCGAAACAGCGAAAGAGCCGAGCAGGTGTGGGCCGAGTCGGAACGCGCTCGCGGCTAATCTGCATTTGAAATTGCATTCATGTCGAATACGAAGTAGGGATAGAGTCGCTCCCCGCCCCCCCCCCCCCGTGCCGTGCCGGCTTCCTTCTGGCGCTTCGCCTCCACGAGCTCGCTCCCGAAGCCTCGGAGCTCGGAGCCGCGGCTCTCGGCGGGCTTGCTCTCATTTGTTTGCCCTCGGCGCCTGCTTTTTCTTCCTCTTTCGTTTTTTCTTCGGCCGCGAGTTGCCGCCACAGGGGCAGTGGCCAGTGTGCTTGCGATTCCGCGACCTGATTGCACTTTGATTCTCTGGCCTTGTAACAGCAGTGCCACGTCTTCGCGCGGAATGCTATCTGTTCATGAATATTTTGATGAATGCCAGATAATGAGTAATTTAAGAGGGCAGCGAATGGCAATTTTTCACAAGCTTGATTTATGAAGCCGAGCGTTTAATTAGTTGCTCAATTAGCTGTATGGAAAGTTCGTTAGCTCAAATGCAATGGCTTGTCCCGGAAATCGCTTGCGCTAATAAGAGCTATTTGCCTTTTTGCTCTCCGTTTGGCAAATTCGTTAAAACCGCCGCCGCCCGGACTCATTTCCAAGAGTCAGAATTGAATTGCTGGCCGCCCTCCCTCGGCGAATACTTTCGGCAAGCTGCCTGCGTGAATCAATAATTTTTATTCTCTTAGGCTAATCGCATCAGTCGCTCGCGCAGCGACATTTATTCAAAGCACTGTCTCGCCACTGCGGCTTCCGCTCTCTTCGATGAATACGCTGTTTCGACAGAATAATCATTTCATAACACCTTCTTAACCGTGGAGCTTCATTTTGTAGGCTTTTTCCCTCTTTTTGCCCCTTTTTTGCAGAAGCAGATTCCATTTGCATAGTAATGTACTTGTCGAGCTGCACAGAGTCCGACCGATAATTCAATATGGAAGTACATTACGTTAAAGCGAATCCGCGAAATATCTGCCTTCGGCCCGTCTGCTGTCAACAGTAGAGGGATGACAATTAACGCTGCTCGGTAAATTGCCGCTCAATTGGGACAGTTCCAGAGGACATGTCGTCAGAGCGCTGGTATAATATCGTAAAGGAGCTAAAGTTGCGCGCGTTAAAAAAGGCGAAGCGGCTGCGCGGCAATAAGAAACAAGTTGGCCATGCGTGCGCAAAGCACGGGCTTGGAGTCTTGCTAATGCCGGCCGACAGCCGAGCGTGGAGACGCGAATCGAAAACTTGTTGAATTGGCTTTACGAGGCAATAAAAAGCAGGCATATCTCGGGCCTCGCTGACATCAAAGCCTCGGCGAAACAATGAAGGGGCGCGCTCCCGCAGCCGCGAGGATCATATTTTCATAGGAAAAATAAAGCGTGCAAGCAGAGCTTATTCTTCTTCACGTCCACGCCCGCAAAATCGAGTTCTCCAAAGTTCTAACGACTTTTCAGTTTTCCTTGTCCCCCTTTGCCCCCCGCTCCACCCCCGCTCCACCCCCGCTCCACCACCCCCCACACCCCTCCGCCAACCGCCACATCCGACAGCTCGCCTTCTCCAGCTCCTTTTTCCGATTTCCCGCTGAATTTCAAATATTCAAAAGATTCGCTGCATATTAGAAAACCTTCGATTTTACCATGACAAAAGTTAAAGAGAGAGATAACAGCTCGGTCAAATTGGAGGAGTGCTGGAGCCACTCACTCTACATGAAGGCTCGCTTTCGCTAGCTTACCCGTTGCTCTAATTTCATTTTTAACTGCCACTTTCTATAGCCAATATGCTTAATAATAGTCAATTAAATATTCTCCACTCTCAAGTCATTCATTTTTTTTGTTTTTAGACGTGAACATTCATCTTTATATTTCGCAATCAAACCGCTTCCATCCCACCGTTTCTATAATTTTCGATTTCAGCCACGTTGGACATTCATACTACAACTGTTGAGATTGGCAATTAATTACGTGATACTCTGGTTCCATTTAATTAACTATTTGTTCGCCATTTATGTTTACTTCTAGCAATCAACTACTAAAAATGGCATGATATTAACTGCACCCATTGCTGTTGAATTTAATTCAAAGTTCAATCTGTTTGACGCATTATTCTTAAAATTGACCAACAAGTATCAATCAAAATCAAGGCATTTGTTCAATGAAAACATCATTGCTGGAAGGCCTCGACAGAACAGCGAGCATATAATACTAATGGACTATCGGAGCTTTCGCTCGTTGGTACCCTATCTTCCAGAGGAATGTACATTAGCGTTGAGCTCATTGTCAACGGAGTCTTTGCACGGTCGTTAAAATACCGGACCTGCTCTTCTCTATTCCGTCAAATGTTGTTAGCCGGTCTTAGAAAAGTTACAGCCAATATTGTTTGTTAACGTGCATAATAACGTGTGCATAATAACGTGCATACTAATCCAAGTTCAGGATTGCTTATTTACGGGACAGATAAATCTTTCTAAGATCTTCTTATTGAAAGATTATCATATTTGAATACTCAAACAATCAAAGCAGATTGACGTGATTAATAAGATTTTAATAAGAAATTATAGTTTGTTACGATTGTTTGATTCATAAGCTTTGGAATTTGGATATTTGCGAACAGATATTTCGTTAAAATATCGTTGTATATCAACGAGCCTCGAGGTGACCTCTATAATCTGGAATTCCTAAACAGCCATATTTCGGCCTCATTTCATTCTGAATTTATGTCAATGGTAGCCCTCACCTTATAAACGGTAATGAGTTATTGCTCTACGCGGACCACATTAAAATGTTTATAGGTATTCGAGATGCGATCGCAATCGATTGTTGCGTAATCTAAGACGAATCGATTCACTCCAAACGCGAACAAGTACATCATTATTTTCTTCATAAATCTGCCTTTTGTTCTCTTATTTTTTGTGTTTCTGAGAATTACTGCAGTCATTGAACCTCTTGTATGCCAACTTTGAGATTCTAATACTATAGATGCTTCAAATCAATGATGCAATGTGGAAACATTACAGCCGTCATTTATTAGTAATATTTATTAGTAAATGAAAATTGTATTGGCATTCATCGTTTAACTATATCTTTTAACTAAAATCTATGAACTTTTAATTATTCCAAGATATATCAAAAAATTAATGGGACCAGTCAATGCTCAAGAGGAAAAATTCAAGGTCGTCTTAATTATCGTCTAAAACCATTCTAATAAATATATGGTTATGAAACTTTTTTCATTTTATATTGTTTGATTTAAATCTTCATTTTGTATTTTGTAAGTTCAAAAATCTCAATTAATAATCCCAGAAAGTAATCATAACATCTTATTTATTAATAAAATAAAAAAAAAATATGTTTTCTATGCTTATCTGAGTGTTAGAGTAAATGGAAATCATTTTTGATGAGCTTATTTTCTTTGTTATGATTTGTTCCTCGTCTTACATTAAGCATTATTATGAAATAATCGATTTTTCAAGTTTTTTATGATAATTAAAACAATTTTCTGTTAGAAATACAATTTTAAAAAAGGCTCAAAAAATTAGAAAATTCGATTTTTTTACAAAAAATACTGCTTCAAAGAGAGTACGAATCATAACGAAGAAAATAAACTAATAAAATATAATTTTCGTTCACTCTAATCCGCAAAAAAATGTGGTATGTTAAATTTTTTCAATAAATAAGATGTTATGGGTATAACAGCTTTTCAGATACCCTGATTAATATTTTTAGACATACGACAGGGAAAACGGAGGCTTAAACCGAATTCTTTAAAATTGAAATAGTTTCATGACGGTATCTTGATTAGAATGCTTATCAGACGACAATAAAAACATTTTCGAATTTTCTTCATTTATCGCTGGTAAAAAAAGGTCCCCTCAACCAAAAGATTCGATTCACGATTGATAATCTAATGCATTAAATCCTACTAAATAGTTTGCTGTGGTTCTTGTTTGAATATTATTAACAATATATACTTAAAATCTGTGTTTTTTAATTCACAATACTTGTGTAAATGCTTTAATGTTAATACTTTGATAAGTTTCTACTATTCGCACATTTATCCAATAAAATGTACAATGATAAAAAATTGTTTTTTCCTACATTTTATTCTACTTTCTCTTTTTTCTATCCACCAATGCAATATAATAATATTCATCTACATTCTACGGATAGTACTCTAATTGTCGATTTATAGTAATAGACTGACTACCATCATTTCAAAATAATGTTAATTAGTATTAAAGATCAGGACACTCATCAATTTTTTATAAATTGTATTTACTACTACAATAAAAATCTACTGTATCGACGTACATAAAACGAATGTTTCAAAGCATAATAAAATTCAAATATTCACGGTCTTTTCACTCATTAAGCAATCGCAATACTGGATCTCGGCAATTCATAATATGGTTTTTTATTCAATTACGCTCGTAAAATGACCATAAACAACCGTATCTTGTTGAACGCAAATTTCAGTGTTCATATAGCACTTAACGTCTGATTGTAGTAATACGAGCTCCATTATTTATCTTAAAAAACAGTAGTTATACCTCATATTTAATCATTGCGCTCCTGTCTAAAGATAGTTCGCGTAAAATCATCATAAATTATTTAGATACTTAGCTCATAAATTAAAAGATCCGTTCGAATTTGACTATGAGGATTACAGAGTGTTTGCAACCAATAGAGGCTTTCCTACGATTAAATTTCATGATACAGTCTAAGATTTCATAACAACTTTTAAGATAGTGAATAATTTGAACTCATGTGATGTTTTAAGAAAGAATACGCGTGTACATAATGTATGATTTCATTCTATCATAAATCGCATAAGACGTTTATAGAACAGTCTACCTATAAGGACGCAAATAAGTTATCTGTTCTCTCTGAATGATAACCAATTGTAAAGCCTCTTTTTTTGGAATTCTAGAATGGACCTTTACAGTTTTTGATCACTTTAATATCTAGTTGGCTTGATTTATGAATTTCTAAATGAATATGAACGAATTAGGTTCGTGGGTTCATCTAAAAATAACAAAGAAAAAAAAAGTGCTCGATGAGTTGAGTTATTGAAATATTGCAATATTTTAGAGTTACATGAGTCTCTTATCTATTTATTTCATCCATTCAGGCAGTTTTGTATTCGATAATTCTTTTTAACCGTTTTTCTTTATGACATTGCATAGCTTGAAATGGTAAAATAAAATATATTTTAAAAGGTATTGAAATACGACGACGCGGTAGTTTTATCTCTCACAAGAATACAATAGCTTACTCATTCGTATTTTTGTTGGGCTAAAGATGGATAAGCACAGTTGGTGAAGAATAAATGTTGATTGTACGTAAAGAGTGAAAGTTGGGTACTTATATGTTTGGGAAAAGTTGAGGGACTGAAAAAGCTAGGTTACGCGGAAGAAAGATATGAGCAGGCGAATTATGCGTGGAAGGCCGGGGGATAGACGGCTACTGGTGAAGGGAGAGAGAAGGTGAGCGAGAAAAAAGTGGAAGCTCGCTTTTCTGTCTTTGACGTCTCAACTAATGATTTTTGCTGGTTGGCGCAGGCCGGTATGAGTGAGCGCGCGATGCCTAAGAAAATTACTTTTCCGTTGCTCATTTTTTCGTGAGATTGCCCACTCTCCTTGGCGCTCGCGCGCCCGCTCCGCCAATCGTTTTGTCGAGAGTGCATGCGGCCGTACTGCAGGCAAGAAAAAAAAAAGGAAGAAAAAAAACACGCGGATTTGCATGATTCTGCGAATTTTTCAGCGGGATCCGTGCAGTTGAAGTGCGGCATGGGCTCGGATACTCGGAAAACGGTTTTGAAAATTGGAGGCGGGCTTGCTAGTTACTGGCCGTGCCCATTGTCCGCGACGCGTCCGGGAGAATAAGGAGAACTCAGAGCGACAGTGCGACGGCAATGTGCGCGGAACGTGCACCGGCCCCGTGTTTATTAGAAAAGGCTGAAAAGCTGGCGGGGGTCGCGCAGCGAGATGGCACCGAGGAGAAGTTAGGGAAAATCTCGCGGCCGATATAAATTCGGCGCGAGCTCGTTGGGCTAATTGGGCGATAACTTAAGCGCCTTACAGGCCAGCTTATACCTCGCTGCGGGCCAGTCCCCGGCGAGCACGCTCTTCCGCGCCGAGCCTCTAGCCGTGCATTATAAGGAATTGGGATATTCGCCTGTTGCGGTCGTTGGCCGTCGCGCGCGTCAGCCCGCATTCCAAGCCCCGGCCGTCATCTATATAGATGCGACCCCCCGATCTGTTGCTGCTATCGCCTCCCAAACTCCCTAAATAATTATTCCGCTAATCGCCGCTCTGCTGTCGCGCCGTTGACTGCTCCTCTTTTGTCACTCACCCGTCACTCACCCCCTTCCGACCGCCACGTAAAAAAATACCGGCAGCCGCGTCCAACTGGTATTCGCGGCCTTCCTTATTAAATCGCAGCTGCTGTCGAGCCGCTTTTGGTCCGCGGCTAGATTTTTTCGAAATTTCCTCAACGGGCACACTCGATCGATAGTTTGCTCGATCGGCAGGTTTAGCGAACAAAACGAGGGACTGCGATGAGATTGCGATGCGATTGGCGAAAAAGCTGGTGTAGCGGCTGAAAGGCACTTTTGAGAGCGCGAGCGAGAAGGTTCAATGGAGTGAAATGTAAGCTGGCGTGATGGTGCAGCGAGAGAGAGAGAGAGGAGCGAGTCGAATGAATAAAGCGCGCGAGATGCACTCGAAATAACCAAGTATCAAAAAGAAGAGTAGAGCGCGTTCTCGAACGCTTAGCGACCGCCAGTTCCAACGCTAATCGCCGAGCCTGGCCGCATAACAAATGCCGCCCGACGCCGCAAATTTAGTCGTGACCCTTGGCGCTGCAGTGCCCGACAACGAGCTCGCGCAGCGTTATTAATCTGCCCGGATCTGCGCGCGTAACAAGCTGCCGGATCAGCGACGAGCGACAGCCCCGCCAGCTTTCCAGCCTTAGCGCCGAAAAATTCCATTCGCTCGCGTGTCATAGCGATTCGTGCGCGCCCCTGCCAGAGGCAACGGAAGTAAATCGATGTCGAAGCTCCGTCGATGGATCGCTCGACATCGCGCTCAGCACTGCCAACGAAATGCCGGAGAAAGCAGCTTGCTCGCAACTGTCCGTGTCTCCGGATGGCGCGATCGCGATTTCGGACCAATCAGAGCTCCGCGATCAGCGAAACGCAAAATTTCGAGGCTCGCAGATAAAACCAGCTAACGTTTTCGTCCCAGGTTCAATGGTAAATTGTGCGCGCGGGCAAAAAGTGAGAGATGCCGCGTAGCGCGAATATCTAGTGGCGCGTGGGCGACGCGCCTCTGAATTGATGGTGTAAATATCTCGCCGCAGAAGCTATTCGCAATTTATGGGCATTCTAATGACCCTTGATGTTCACGAGCAGTTCGTCTCGGGCAGAGCTCGCGTAATTCTCTCTCGGTCGTTCGCTCGCCTCGCCTCGTACCGTTGGCGAGACGCGTCGCGGGCGCGTGCCAGCGACCGACAACAACTTCACCTGCATTCGTCGAGCCGCTTCTTATTTTCGGCTCTCCGCGCAACTTGACTAAGCGAACGATCGGCTCGTTGACTCGCCGTGTCCCCTGCCAGAACAATACTACGCCTTCGCCGAGCTCGCTAACTACGTCTAATCGGATATTCCAACGAGCCGCACCTTCGAAAACCATTTCCATGCGCTTCAACCTTTGCAACCTTTCTTCATTTTTACAAACCAACGATGTTGCGATCTTCTTGGTTTCCGCCATTTACGCGCCAGACTGATACGCACGGGTAACATTTTAATGAGGTTGGTGTAGAGTTCTGCGAAAATTGTCGACGGTTCTAATTTTACGTGAAAATTCCGCGACGCGTTGGAATGACGAAATCTAGGTACCGTAACCAGGCCGGAAAGTTTTATTGACGTCTTATTATTTATTAATAACAATATCCTTGCGAAAACCTTGTAATGATCCAGTTAAAACCTGTACGAACGCGCAATCATTAACTCAAAATAAGTCGTTTGCAGTAAAAAGGATTCGTTAGTTTGCGTAACTACCAGCGGCTTTGTAGACTTTGACAATGCTTCCTTTCTCCGAACTTCTGCTCGTTATCAATTTTATGCTAAAATTTTCGAAATCTCTTCGACTTTCATTTCATTATGAAAATCACTTGGCCTTTGCGAATATTTTCAAGTAATAACTAATTAACGCCGTGCCGTAAAGCTCGCTAAAAGTAATCCAAAGTCTAATGTTCATTTGGATAATTAATTGTTAGACTTTGCGGGGCACTATAAGTTCTCTAAATTTCACGTAAACATTCACCAAAAATAATCGTCGGACACTTGGCAAAACGATCGACAGATAGCTGACATTGAGCGAGCTGAAAAGTACCGTTTGCTCGAGAATAACAGGAAACGTAACCTACTCCAAGTTGATGTGTCAAGTACGGCGATGACGAAGATTTGTTACGAAACGTCATCGATGAGAGCGTGCGAACATTGGCTTGAATTTTTAAGGACACTTCGATCAACGCGCACTGCACCTCATGCAATATTCATCGACAGCCTTCATTAATGTTGCGCACAGTACGGACATTATGCCTACAAAACAGATACTGCCATTGAAATTGAAGTCTGACATTATTCGGCGCGTAGAATATCGCGGATTTAGTCGATGGATTTTCCACCAGAAATAGAAATAAAACAAAAAACGATGACGCGGCATGTACACGATTGTAAATTTGCGCACAGCAATCAGAATTTAGGTTATATTTGAAGCTGGAATGGAAAGTAGCCAAATAAAAGCACAACAAGCGAGGGAGAGCGAGCATCGAAAAGCGAGCTACAGTCCGTCTAAACTAAAAAAGCCGGGAAAGCACAAGGGAAAAGCGCACAGCAGAGAGCGCAGGCAGAGGTACACGAGCACGCGAGCGTGTCAGCGGGAGGACGCGTGTCATCCGGCCGAGAGCGGATCAACAGTCCAGGGCCCAGCGACAATCAAGGGGCTAATAAGGAAGGAAAGAGGAGAACAAACGGGGAGAGAGAGAGAGAGAGAGAGAAAGCGGTCAAGTAACTAAGTATACAACGCACGGGCTTGAGTCCTCGGTAGAAGAAGAGATTAGCTGGCGGCAAGCAGTGCGGCGGTGTGGTCGAGGGTCATGGCTGGAGCCGCGCACGTGCTCCACCGTGGCGAGTGCGAGGTCTGCTGCGGGCCTGCCAACAGTTCGAGCGGGCGCGTGCCTCGGGACGAGCCGGCAGACTGGCCGACTGGCGGCGGCTCGAGCCAGCAGCCTCTCGCCAACTCTCTCGCGGGCCTGCGCGCGCTTTTCTCCCCGCGAGCGCCCCCTCGCAGCTCGCCGGGCCGCGGACGGGGGAGGCGAGCCGAGCTGCGCTGCGCCGCGCTGCGCCGGGCTGCGCGATCCTCGGTTTCGTCCGAAGAAAACGAAGCGGCTCGTCGGAGCTGTTGCCCGTCGCGATCGGGGGTCTTTGCCCGAAAAGTCTTGTGCTGCCGAACAGCTTCGGCTCGGCAACTGGTTGCGCGCTACTTGCGTCGAGAACTGCAGAAGGCCGCTGAAATTCTTGGAAGTCCTGGCTAAAGCTCGCAGCGAAGAGGCTCCCGGCGTGGCAATGAAGCAGCGCGCTCGGTAGGCGCGGGAGCGCAGTGCGCTTGTTCGGCCGGCGGCGAATTACAGTCGTTAATTAGCAGGGACGGCGTCTTTGGGGGCTGGCGATGCAGAAATCGCCGGCGCGTAGAGGCTGACAATGGCAAATGTCGAGGGCGCCCTGTCCGCTCGGTGCGCGCGGCTTGCACGAGGCGCGATCGCACCGCTAACGGAAGTCGGCGGACGTAGCTCACTCGCCTCGGATGGACGCGCGAACGTGGCCTGGGCCATTTGCAGTGGCTGTCCGGCGCAGGCCCGCATCACGCTTCGTTGTATCGCTCCTGCATTTTAGCCGCTCTCAGCCGACTCGTAAGAGCGTTACTCATTTTCCGCTGCTCTCTTTATGTTCTCGAGTCAACCGTAGCATCGTTAAACTTTCAGCCTGATAAAGGGCCGCGCGTCGATGCGCCTCGTCCCGTGGTTCGATCCATTAAAGCGTTCCTTCAATTTTCCTGCATCGTTGTTCGTCGTTCGCCAAGTAGCTGTTACTGCGCGGGAAATGCCTCGAGTGGCGCGACAGGAAACTACAAGTGGAGAGAAAATAATGTGAATTGATCAAATCTCACGTTATGGCTTGATACAGAAGGGAAGCCGGCGAGCGCGAGGCGGCGCGGGCGCAAGCGTCACTCGCAGTGCCATGAATAATAAAATACTTATACGACGTGATTTATCGCCCCGAGCCCCGATATTATTTAGTGCTTACAGCGGACTCGCATTTTCATTGGAGAAATGGCAAATAAAATCAGCTTTAACGGCCAATCAAACGCCCCAAATCCCCGGAATCAATTGGACATTCCTACGCCGATTGATTAGGCAGTTAGCCGCGCTCGGTCGATCGCCCGATCGTCGATCAATTTTTCGAGCTGCCCAGCGCGGCGCCGCGCCCAAGTCCGCAAGCAACGCAGTAAGGCGCGACACAGGAGGATGACCAGTTGCAGTGGCAGACAGTTCGGCTGCCAGCGTAACGAAGCTCAGCGGCGCGTTGTTTTCAGATTTTCAGACGCGGCACTGACGAGGAGGAGAGCAAGTCGATATCGGTTGCTTGGCTACTAATCGAGTTGACGACGACGGCCTCGACAATCGCACGGCGTGCCCGCGCGCGGCGGATACGAGGGAAGACGTTATGTAAAAAGTAGGCAGCGAGCGAGTGCGGCAGGGCGGCAGGAGGCGGCAGGAGGCGGCAGGGGGAGGCAGGCAGAAAGCTCGCTGGATATACGACGGAGCGAGGCTGCGCCGGCGGACTAGTTGCCGGCAAGCTCGAACAAGCGGCGCAACATCAATGAAGTTTGTATGTGGCGCACATGGCGCCTCTCTCGATGTGCATGTGTATACAGCGGCTGGAGTTAGTGACGGGCGGGCTGACGCCCAGCCAGCTCGGCAGCTCGCCGTAGCAGCTGTTCCGCCACTAGATTGGCGCTCGCGCAACAATCGCGGCGCCGGCAAGCCCGTAGCTGCCAGTGCCGGGCGAGGCTCCGGCTCTTATTTTACGCGCCATCGGCCCCGATCCACGGATTTCAGCGCTACACTTACGAGCCGCCCGTCTGCCGCGCTTCGTGCGGCTTCGCGCGCAGCCGATTACTGCGCGCCTGTTTTATTAGCCGCGCCACTGCCGCTCGATTCGCTTCCAAGCCGGCTCCGTTCTGCTCTCTCTCTCTCTCTCGCTCTCTCTCTCCGTCGCCGCGTTGGCCCGTCTGACCGAACTCGCGTCCCGCTACTCATTTGGCTGCACGCCCAAACTTGACGCGTAGCAGTTTGATCCGCGGTCGACGACTTGCCAGCCACTGCGTTCACGCGCACGGGCTGCCTCGCTCTCCGATCGAGACGCCCAGACGTCAAGACTTATCAATGTCCATTATTCTTTCCCTCATCCGAGCGCCACGTGCAACTTTAGAGGAGAGCGGGAGCGAAAAAGTTGCTCGCTCGCGCGCACCTGCTGTCTCCCCCATCCGGAAATTTTATTCTCTGTGAATTTTAAGTTTTCTCGCCCGCCCCAACAGACCGAAGGCCGAGTTTATGAAAAAGCACTCGGCTTCTTTCTCTCACTGGCGTCGCTCGCGCTTCAACTTGTTTTGACTCGGTCGCCGGCGTCGCCACTCCGTAACTTCCTTCATTTTTTCCCCTTCGACGATGACGGCTCGCTATTTTTCCTCGCGGTCGGAACACAAGGTCCGAGAGAGAGAGAGAGAGAGAGAGAGAGAGAGAGAGAGAGAGCGAAGCCCCGCGGCTCCATTAATTTGCCGCGAATTATTATATTGACAGATGAGTCCGGAACTTTGTTGGCGCTTCGGCAGCAGCTATTTTCTTTCCATTCGTTTGTCAGTCCAAGCCAACTTTCGGCCGAGCCGTGAGCCTCGGAGTGAAATTCGAAAACTGAATAACCGCTGGTTTGTCGATCGACGCGCAGGCGCTCGGAACGTGAAAAAGGCTGTAGAGCGAGCGTCAGAGGAGCGAGGCAGCGCCGGCGGAGAAGGATTAATTTATAAGAGGTTAATAAAGTGCAGTTTATAGATATGAAGCGCGAGAGCGGCGGCCGGGCGAGGTGGGGGAGAGACGGCGCTGCGCTCGTATCGAGCTTATCGGAGCACGAGAGCTCGGAGCAGCGAGCTGCGCTGAAGTGAGATTTTATTACGAGGCGGCGCTGCCGGATAGACATTGTCTCTTAAGGGATCGTCTGGACGGGGCGAAAAAGCGAAAGAGACGGCGCCTGAAAACGCAGCCGCAGGTAATGCCCGCGACATTACGATTTCAATCTCTGGGGGCACCTTTGCATTTTACGGGCTTATTCGCGCGCGGATATTGGAGCGTTTACGCCTCGGCAGAGAGAAAGTCGCGTCGCACTTACTGCCACGAGCTCGGAAGAAACAAGCCTCGGGTATCTACGCACTCTCGGCGGGCTGCCTCCGACGCGCAGCCGGCGATAACGCCGCAGCCAACTGCCCCCGACCGACACATTTTCTCTCGCTCTCGTTCGCCCGTTCGCAACTGCTACTGCCTACGCTCTCTCCTCGTTTCGTCGCTCGCGGCCAACGCCATCTGATTTGGTTGGCGTGTCTTTGGCGGGCCGGCGAGAGCAGCGACGACGAAACGATCGATCGTCAGCGAGAACGAAAGCTCGACGAAAGAAGAAAGCGACATGTGGAGCAATCAGGGCCTAATAAGGCCTCGCCGAGCCTCGGCCCGCGCGCCGCTGCACTGGCGCTCGCCTTTTCCATTAGAGCGGATAGTCGAGCTTTAGTGCCGGCATTCGGATTTGTTTGTCGATGACAATGCCGAGTGCGCGCCGCGAGCACGAAATTAATCGCGGCGTGCCCGCCTCGCGCGCGCACGCTCCGGTTTTATGAAAAAAAGAGAATGGCCGGCCGAGAGAGGGGGTGGGCAGAGGAAAGGTACGACGTCATAAGTCAGCGATTTCCTCTGCTACATTGACTCGCGCCAACTCTCGGCGTGCCCCTTTCCCTTTCTCGCGCCATACGCGGAAACTGCACGAATGAAAGCGCGCACAATGAAAAAGACACGTCGCGTATGTCATCCCCTTTATCGCGCTTTATCTTTGAAATTGCCGCTCGAGCGGCCGCGGCAGTGCACCAGCAGCTAGCCGCACGCGATATATACGACTTGGAAAAATTAGGAGCCAACGCTATCCCGCACCTCTTATCGCCTGCCAGCTTTCCTCGTCCCCGCCGGCTTCTTCGGCTCTCCTTATTTCCTATCTCTCGCACGGCCCTACGCTCTCCAAATCAGCTCGCTTCCGGTCCGATCTCTCCTCGACGATCGCTCGCTCGCGCGACTCATCCGTCCAATTTTCTTTTTGATTTTTCAGATTGTCGCTTGCCAAACGTTCCTCTCCAGCTACTCGCTCTTGCGCAATGGCGCGTTCGGTCAAAGCCACGCGCTGGCTCGTGCGATTCATAATCAACAGGTTAATCAACCGGACGTATTCACAGCGAGCCCGAGCTTTTTTACTCGCTTGCGCGTCCCATGATAATACGTACCGCTTTGCGCTATCATTTCAATTCATTGCCGACGCGTTTTTCATGCGCGAAGCCTCGGTCCAACGGCACCGAGCGAAAACAAAAGAGATCGATCGACTGGGCTGCCAGCGATTTCCGTCGGCCGCTCTTTGGGGGATTTGCCGCGCGCAATAATGAGCTTTCCTCGTACTGCTGCTGCCGAGGGCTCTCGCTTACTCGCTCGGCTCAAAGGGGAGAAAAAGGAGAGGCGTTGAAACAGAGAGCTCTGTTTAACGGAAAGAGCGCGCGTCACAAGAAAACACGAGCGAGAAAGGAGTAGCTGCGAGCGGAGACGTCGAGTGGTCGCGAGCTTTAATGAAAATGAAACTGTCGTTCATGCTCGCTTTCGCCATTTTTCCCCGCAGCTCGTTAACCGGCTTGCACGCGCGTCCTCGGGCATTTTAATTGGCGCGTATCGCGTGCCAGTCAATTAAATACGCGCTTGCTGCGACAAATTTTTACAATGAAACGGAGCGGCAGCGGCACACTGACGAGCCAAATGATAACTCGCACTCGCAGTCTGCCGACGAGTCTGCGTTGCGCGCAATCAATGAAA